CAGAATAATAGCTAATACTTTACATTTTACTTAGATTCTGTAACTTCTTTTCTTTGGTTTTTGGGCAACAGAAGATGGTGCTCAGGATTGCTCCTGACTCTGTGCTCAGGAATCACTCCTGACAATACTCACCGAGTGCAATTTGGTGCTAGGGATCAAACCACATGGAAGTCAACTTGGCTCACATTCATTAATTTACCTTTATAAAGGGTATAGAAAAATCATCAATTACTTCTCTGATTGCTGAGAAGCATAATATATTATATGCTAATATATTATTAAGATGTCACCACTTTCCCTCATCAGAGTAAAATAAAGCTGATCATTCTGTCCTGGTAGAAATTTCTGTTGTCTTGGATTATGTAACCAGATACTCAGATTTTTGTTAACAATCCAATTGCTCTTCCCATTTCTCTATTTCTCCAGAAATCTGCCTCAGTTTGATTTTTAAATATTGAATATCTTCAATGGTCAGTTTGACACATTTTCCCTTTTTAAACTAAAACCATTAAATCACTTGATCACTTGACATTCCGTTACTCATTGATTAACTCGAGTGGGCACCAGTAATGTCTTCATTCATCCCTGTCGCATGCTAGTGTAACCCAACGACCTCTGCTTTCTTCAGGAACACAAAGAACCTCAAACTGATCATTGAGGGTCTTGACAAAGACTTCTGACCATCTCGTAGGTGGGTGACCATGCGTTCTTTTGACGTCCCATGGAATCCAGTCAGTAATGGCTCTAGTCCAGCAGTCATCTCCAAAATGCATTACCTGTTTGGCCTATCTGATTTTTGACACCTTGGCAAATGAGTCAGCGTCGCTGATTCTCAATCATCGATGGAGGTCAGAACTCTGGATTCTTTCTCTCACTTGAGTGAAGCGTGATACTCCAAGCATAGCTCTTTTGATTCCTCTTTGAAAGACCCAAATAGCATTCTCATCCTGTTTTCAGAGGGCCCAGGTCTCTGAGGCGTATGTTAGTGCAGGAAGAACAGTAGAATCGAAGAGATGTGCCTGGAGCTGGAGGTTCTTCGCCCTCTTAGCTATTTCTTCAATGCTCTTGAAGGCATTCCAAGCTGTTCTCTTCCTCCTGTGCAACTCAGGTGCCAGGTCATTCTTCATGTTGACTTCTCGACCTAGGTACACATAGCTATTGCATTTGGAGATGTTTGTTCCATAGAGAGCTAATGGAATGTCAGGGAAGAGTCCATTTCTCAAAAACATTGTCTTCGTGAGATTCAGCTGTAGTTCAACCTTTCCTCACTCACGGTTGAAGTCGGCGAGCATTTGTGCTGCTTGGCTAATATTTGGTGTTATGAGAATGAAGTCATCAGCGAAGCGGAGGTGATGTAGTTGCTGACCGTCTATCTTTACTCCCATTCCTTTCCATTTCAGTTGTCATCACATGACGTTCTCAAGGGTGGCACTGAAGAGTTTTGGTGAAATGGAATCACTCTGCTGAACCTCTCTCGACATGGATGATCATATCCTTGTAGAATTGTGAGATCCTGGTAGTGAATCTATAATATAGCTCACAGAGGATCCTGATATATTGAGTTTGAATGCCCTGTTTGGCTAGGGCTTTGATGAGTGCTTCTGTCTCAACAGAATCAAAGGCCTTCTTTAAATCAATGAACATTAGACAGAACAGCATCTTGAACTCCTGAGAAACTCAATGAGCTTGGTTATTGTGTGGATATGGTTGATCGTGCTGAATCCTTTTTGGAACCCGGTTTGCTCGCGTGGTTGTCCTACATCTAGTGGTCAATTCTATTCAAGATGACTCAAGTGAACCCATTAAATAGTTCTCTTATTTGAATAAGTCCTTAAATTAAAAATTGACTCGTTCTATAGTTCCTTGATTTTAATCACAGTCACAGTCACGGTCCTTCCGTTGTTCATCGATTTGCTCGAGCGGGCCCAGTAACGTCTCCATCATGAGACTTGTTGTTACTGTGTTTGGCATATCGAATACATCACGGGTAGCTTGCCAGGCTCTGCCATGCGGGCGAGATACTCTCGGTAGCTTGCCAGGCTCTCCTAGAGGGGTGGAGGAATTGAACTCGGATCGGCCATGTTGGCCACTTGTAAGGCAAATGTCCTACCGCTGTGCTATCGCTACAGCCCCTTGATTTTAATAGATCAGTGAATTGTGAATAAAATAAACAAATAACAACAACTATTTTCTCTATTATTTCTTTGTTTTGTCGCCACACCTGATGGTGCTCAGGAACTATTTCTGGCTAAAAATATGGGATCACTTCAGTGGTTATTAGGGTACCCTATAGTGCCAAGGATGTAACCTAGGGACTGTATTTACAAAACATGAACTCCAGTCCTTTCCTCCATCTCCCTAACTGCATAGATTCTCTTTTGAGTAGAGAACGGTAGTGTTTCTATGCATTGAAAAAATTAATGGGGCTAACAGATCATCAGCTTATTCAGTTTGTGTGATTATTCTCTCACGTAGAATATCAATTCTATATGCTATTGGTGTTATTCATGGTAGAGAAAATATTGATATTGATGATAGAAAAGAACTTGATTTTTCTTTTCTTAAAATTTCTATTTGCTTTTAAAAAAACTCATCTAAGAACTAAAAGCTTTGAGATGAATTTGTACTATACAGAATGCTGGTTTGATGTACATAGGATACATATTGAATATCAAGAGTAATTTCCTGTTTGTTTTTTATTAAAACATGTATTTTTTCATGCCTTTAGTTTCTTTGTTGAAAAATAAAAAGGAGGTGGAGTTCATGCCCAGTTCAATCAGCCAATCAGTGGCTGAATAAATAGAAGTACTCCTACATAAAAAAAAGAAAAAGAAAAAAGACAGTTACATTAGTTTATCTTTTAAAAATTAATTTCTTTGTTTAATTTTTATAAAATTTTAAAAATTAGAGGGCAAACTTAATGCATTTCTATCAATAGCTTGTTTAAGAAACAGGATATTTTCTTTTTTATTTTTAAAATTTTTATGTAGGAGTACTGCTATTTATTCAGCCACTGATTAGGCTGATTGAATTGGGCATGAACTCCACCTTACTTTTTTTTCAGTTTTTATAATTTTATTTATTGAATCACCATGAGAGCAGTTACAAAGCTTTCGGGTTTAAGTCTGGGTCACACAACGAAACACCTGTACCTTCACCGGTGCCCATTCTCCACCACCAAAAACCCCAGTATACCTCCATCCCACATCCTCCCCCTACCTGTGGGGCAGATGATTTCCACATTATTCTCTCTCTACTTTGATCACATTCAATATTTTGACACAAGATCCAACATTATTATTTGGGATTTTACCCCAACACTCAGATCTGCCAAAAAGGCAACAATGGAAATTTTTTTTTCTATTGCTGGTTATGAATAACATATGATGTTGTGTGGCTGCAGTTGTGGCCGTGCAATTTTGAAATTCTGAAATTTTAACAATTAAATCTAGAAGGATTTCTTGCCAAAACCTGCTGGGTTACGAGATTTGTTCCTGATTCTCTTGGATCATGGCTGTTAAGCAGCTTGATCAGGAGCCAGAGAGGCTGTTCATGGGTGGCAACTCGGGGTCTCCTTGGGGCAGGAAGGAAAGGGCCGGCTCCACCCTCATCCCATGAGGTCCCTCATGTCTCGTCACTGTGGGCCCAAACCTGACTGTCCAATGGCCTCTGGAGGATGGTGCCCACCGAGCCGCCAAGGGGGAGCAGGTGGAGGGACAACACCCTTTCCCCCCTTGGGTGTCCCAGTGACAGTAACCTACTGCAAGGCCCAGACACATTTTTGCCAAAAGCCGCTGGGTTTTGAGATTTGTTTCTGAGTCTCTGGAATCATGCCGTTAAGCAGCTTGATCAGGAGCCAGAGAGGCCATTCGTGGGTAGTGACTTAGGGTCTCATTGGGGCAGGGAGGAAAGGGCCAGCTCCACCCCAAAATTTTCTTTTTAAAGACAAATTTGAACAAGTTAATTCAAATTAACTTATGAATTGATTTTAGATTATTGTTTTTAGAAGGATTTGGGGACCACACTAGGCTGAACAAGGCTTACCTTTGGCTCTGTTTTCAGGGATAATTCCTGGCTGTGTTCAGAGAACCATATGCAATGCCTGAGATCGAACCTGAGACAGCTGTGTACAGATCAAGTGATTATTTATGTTGTTTTTTTATGGTCCTTAGATTATTTCAATTTCATGATTACGTTTCAGTCATACAATGATTGAGCACCCATGCCTCCACCAGTTCCCATTCTCCACCACCAATGTTCCCAGTAACTCTCCAGCCACCCCTACCCCATCCCACCCCCTGCCTCTGTGGCAGGCACATTCCCTCTCACTCTCTCTCTCCTTTTGGGTGTTATAGTTTGCAATCAGGTACTAAGAGGCCACATTGTTTGGTCCATAGTCTAGTTTCAACACACATTTCTCATCCAAGTGGTCCCTCCACCCATCATTTACTTAGTGGTCCCTTCTCTAGTCCATCTGCCTTTTCCCCCAGTATGTAAGGCCAGCTTCCAAGCATGGAGCGATCCTCCTGGCCCTTATCTCTACTGTCCTTAGGTGTTAGTCTCCTATCAAATACAAATACTTTTAATAATAAAAATAAAAATTATTATTAAAAATTATTAATAAAAATAACTAATTTTTATTAATAATAATTAATAACTAATAATAATAGAGCAGAGCCTGGCAAGCTCCCCGTGACGTATTCGATATGCCAAACACAGTAACAACAAAGTCTCCAATGGAGACGTTACTGGGCCCGCTCGAGCAAATCGACGAACAACGGGCGGGCCTTTACCTTTACCTTTTTAATAAAAATTGATCTCTGAAGTCATAAGCTAAGCAATATGAATGAAAATAGTTTAGTATATAGTGAAAGCTACAATTATTTTACAAATAATTGTAAAATAATTGGCAAAGTTTTTTCTGAGTAATATGATTAGTACAGGCCTAGAAATAATGGTATTACTATGTTAAATGTTTGTTTCTTTTCTTTTTTTGTTTTTAGGGGAAGGTGCTAACACAGGTCCTCCACCCCCACTACAACAAATTATGCAGTTGATTTTCCCACATTTGGGGAAATTATAGGGGTTGGCACATCTGGAGTATAATGGATAAGCCTTGCTCTGGGAAATCAACCTTCATGATCATAATATCTCCCCTGCCAGACAAATATGTCTTTATTTCGTTAATGTTTTTATTGTCTACATATGGATAAAAGAGTGAAAAAATTGCATACGAAATGTGAGATGTGACTATTTCTGCTTGCAAGAATATTTTGAGTCAAATACACAAAATATTATATATGTAGTTCCTATTTTATCCATAATTGGCCAATTTTTGTTCTTGTTTTTAATATATGTTAAATAAGCAAATACTTGCTCATAAGTGAAAGAAGTTGGAAAACACCACAAAACACTCATTGCTTCTAAGTGACAAGATAGAATTTACACAGAAATTCAGAGCTTATTTAGTAGAGAGCTCTGCTTGTCATCTGGCCTATATTAGGAAACTTCAGATAAAAGTCAAGGTCTCAGACTGAGATGGATGTTTAGAGAAAGGGTACCTCACACAATGTGTGCTCAGGTTTGAGTGTTTTTATAAAGCTCTTTTAATAATTTTCAATGTGGTGTAGACTTATCCATCTCCTCTCTTCATCTTGAACCCAAGTAATGTTTGAAACTTTAACAAAAGTTCTTTTTTAATATATTTTTTCTCGAGATTTTCCTTTTCTCTTTTTTTATTTTTTGGTGGGGGGACCACAACCAACAGTGCTCAGGTTTTACTTTTGATTCTGTTCTCAAGGATCACTCCTAGTGAACTCAGGGACCATATGGGGTGCCAGGGATCAAACCCCAGTCAGCGACATGCAAAGGATGAACCCTACCCGCTGTACTATGTCTGGCCCTAAAGATTTTTCTTTAAAAAATATCAAGAATCTTTTCAGTTGAAGTTAAAAAAAAACAAGAAAGAAAGAAAAAGAAAAATGAATGCCTGTACCTTACAAAAAGTTGTTCAAATAATGTTATAAAATGTCTAAGTTGGGGCTGGAAAGACAGCTCAGCAGTAGGGCACTTGCCTTGTATGCCGCCAACTCAGTTTCCATGCTTCCACTGCATGTGGTTGCCCAAGACCCGCCAAGAGTGACCCGTAGGGAGTAGAGCCTGGAGTTAGCCATGAGCACTGTTGGGTGTAGCCTCAACAGAAAGCAAAACAAAGTCAGTATTCTAGGCTAGGTTTAGCAGTTGGTTCTTCATTTACAAAGCACTTAATAAAAGATAAACATCTAGGAATTTACCCTATTATTCCCTTTCAGCTGAATTACCCTCCTGAGATACATATCTAAATTTCTATTTATAGAAGATATATATATATTCACTTTCCAGATTTCCTTGACATTTTAAAGCGACCTTCAATGAATTGGCCTTAGCTTAATCTTTTCCATAAAATCATTTTCTTAAATCATCCAGAAAATTATTTCCTACTGAAAATTATTTCCTACTGAAAATTCACCATTAGTGCTCTGGGGGAAAATAAGAATATCATAACAGTAGTATGAATATGAATTTTTTGAGGCAACAACATAAATGTCAATGCAGCTCTTGCAAAATAAAACTTTTGTTTTCAAATAGAAAGAGAAACATCAAATGTATCCTGTTTTGGACAGAGTTTTGCGGTGGAAACTTTTTTTTTAATATTTTACTGTCATTTATAAATCTTGACATTTCTACATCATGACAGTTATTGGTAAAATTTCTATTCATCAAGCTGGTTAGAGAAACAATTTTCCCATTTATTCTGCAAAATACCTTCTGTTTCTGTGGTATACCATCAATATGTCAATGCATCATACAATTAAGAGTGGAACTTTTTCAATTTCTTATATGAAATCTCACCCTTGCATTTCACTGACTATAATTTTAGCCATTATCACTACGAAGCTCTCACTAGCTACACAACTTTCCCTTTTCTAGGTTATAAATTGTGTACCTAATAGCTCCTCAATAACTTGTTTTCTGAGTCTCTTTACTGAATGAAAAGTCTCTTTATTGAATGTCTCTTTTAAACCAAACTCTTTTCATCCTGTTTGAGATTCAAATTGCTTTTTTAAATGAATCATCACCTTAACTTGTCAAACAGCTGTTTTTTGGTGTCTTTTCAGTTTTGCAAGGGCTTTGGCTGCATTTTTAGTTATTTGCCATAGACTGTGCACAGTGCATAGGACACCTGACTGGAAAGCTCATTAAGTAGTTTTCATTGTAAGGACAAACTTCTCTTTAAGTTCTTTGTTGTGAATTGACTCAGTGCGGTGAATTGACATAAAAAGTTGTTAACTCCCATCTCTTATCTTCCCCCTCTCTAGTGGCCTAAATCTATAACTCTCCTCTCCCATTTCATACCTCGTCCTCAAAAATCACCATGGAAAATCATGGTAACTAAGAAAAGTATCGAGAAATGCCTAAATGACACTGATTTTTTCTCCGCAACTTATCATTTGCAACACTAATTGGACTATAATAAGAACAAGAGAGGATGAAGATTGCTATTGTATCTAGAGAATGTATGAGTATCTTTCCAATAAAAAAAACAAAATTCTATCTGTTTCCTTCAGTCAGTTGTATATAAGGACAGAAGGTGGTGAGAAGCTAATCTGAGAGTGAGATGTTGACTTTATTCTCTTACTTGCTTCTCCTTCCTGAAATAGTATTCATCAGACTTCAAAGGCCTCCTTTACCTCACACCAAAATCTGACAACAGATTCATGTCCTTTAACACTACTCTGCTGTCTACAGCTAAAATGGGTCAAAAAATCTCCAACAAAATTGCCAATATGAACACTCAAAGTTCATCACATTGTGTAGCACAAGAAGTTCAAAGACTATTTAGTTCTTAATTCTTTTTACAAGATCAAAAAGCCTCTTGGATCCTCTCATAAGTATTATCTGGGTCTTTGCAGACTTCAGTGAGAATCTACTGAAATTATCTCAACCTGCTCTCATGGTTTCACTAACATGCAAATTGCTGTTTCCTTTTCATTCTGGCAATATAAAATTGCTAATCACTGTCTTCCATGATTGGTTTATGGTCACATTAAATTTTATTTACGCACATCCAAGTTCCTGATTGTGTCTTGTCCACCTTTCACACTACTCCAAAGGAAATTGTGAGCTATTTCCAGTGTTGCCTATCTCATATGCCAAGGACAAACTCATATGCAGCAACAACCTGAAAATTTTTTTCTTTAAATTTTGGGTCACATTTGGAAGTACTGGTGTGCTTCACAAAAGGGTTAAGAGCTATTCCTGGTGGTGTTCAGGGTACCATGCGCCAAGGATGAAACCTAGATCTCCTACACACAAAACACAAACTCAACATGTTAAGCTATTTCCCTGGAATCCTGGACTGCATTTTTAATTTGTAGTTATAATCCCTATCTTGCCCCCATTTAGTTAATCTATAATTGCTGTTGGTTCTACTTCCAAATATCACCAATTAGGCTTTTTTCTCCATTTTTACCAACCCTTGTCAAACAACTATTTTTGAGGATTGGATTTGCAAGGTATTTTTAAGTGGTCCAGTTCATCTACTATTAACCTATCCACTATATTCTCTACTACATGAATTTTTAAATTTATTCTCCAGTATATAATTTTTAAATGCTAAAATATGTATATTACATATGTTTTTTAGTTTTCAGTCATGCCTTGTGGTACTAAGGTCTTCTGTCTTTGTGCTCAGGCATCACTTTTAGTGGGGCCTGGTGGACTATATTAGGCATGAAGAATTCTAACTGGGGTCAGCTGCATGCAAGGCAAGCACCTTACTTCTGGTACTCTCTCTCCACCCACTAAAATGCCAAATATATATTTTAAACTGAGATCATCTTGGTTTGCAACATTTTATATGCTTGAGAAGTAAAGATTCACACTTCTTCAAATACATTTTCAAATCATACTACACCTACCACAAAGGTACTGATAACCTTACAATTTAATCCATTGAGCTCTCTCTATCATTAGTCTCCATCATCTACTCTGGAAATAGTAGATCTGCAGTCATCATACAAAGCTTTATTTGTGGGGAGGCACCCTCAACTGTGCTTAGAGATCAGTCTTGGGAGCGCTTGAGGTACAATATGAGGTGCAGTGTATCAAACCTGGTTCAGATGCATGCAAGATAAGTGTCCTACTCATTTTATTATCTTTCTAGTCCTACAGAGTTAGCTCTTTAAAAAATTTGGCTTTAGGCTATTTTTTCTTTATATCCCATGCAAGTGAAATAATTTTGTATTACCTCTTTCTGACTTATAAAATGGTACTATGCCTCCCTGTTTAAAATTTTTCATAGTTGCCAGTGAATTACTTTTAAATAAGAAAAGAGGGATCTCTAACAAATCATACACAGACCACCTGTGTGGTCACGGAATCTTAACAAGATTCCTTTTGACATTTGTCCTTTTCTCATGCCATTCTGTTCAAATAGACCTACTACTTTCCCACTTCTAGTCTGGAAATAGGAAAAGATTACCTCTAGTGTGTACTGTTGTTCTTATCATTTTCTCTCTGCCTATGGACTTTCCAGATTTTTTAATCTAACTGTCATCCCAAATCTTATTTGGAGTATCATTTACCCATAGAAGCTGGAGGTTCCTTGGTACTGAGTACTTCTAAGTTCACTTACAACATTTTTAATTATGCCATTAATTGCACAATTTGTTGGTTGTTATTTATTTTGAAGCAACTATGATTGCTTCTGGATGACAGAAAACAAAATTTCTTGTGTTTTTCACCCTAAACTCATGCATTAACATATGATAAAAAATAATTGGTGTGATAATGACTAAATGAGTAGATTCTAAATTCAGTATTTAAATTTGTTCTAATTGCAGTCTTCAAATGTTAGGAAATACATTCTTAATGACATAGAGAGGACTTATTAATTCATTATTTTCCCATTAACATTTGAACATTTAACATGTGAAACATTAAAAAAAAGATGCATACCCTAGTGTCTCATGTCTACTGTAAATTTTATGTGATAAAAGTTTCAATATACAGAGAAGTATTGTGCTTTGAAAGGTATGAATTGAAAGTTGTAAAAATACTTTGCAGTACCTAATATTCACTTGGGGATTGAAAGTTATAAAAAGTAATTATCTGTGGATGGGATTTATTG